AAAAAAGGGGGGGGGGGGGGGGGGGGGGGGGGGCGCTAGTTTTCTGTGTCACTGAAAGAGAGTGGGGGAAGGGAGATAATACGAGTGAGGGAACAAACAGTAGCGAGCCACAGAGCATGCCCACTGACTCATATGGAGCCTGTGTATCGTGTGCAAGTGTGTGTGTGTGTGTGTGTGTGTGTGTGTGCGCGCGTCTCCAGGAGGAAGAGGGCAAAGACAGAAAATGTCGTTACGTATCCAAGAACTGCTACTCATGCTTGACCACAGCACCATCATCACATCAAGTATGTCCACTCGCAATTTAATAGTGAAAGAGCTGGATGATATGTAGGTTTTAATTAATCCAAGAGCCCCCCCCCCACACACAAAATAACACGTCCACTCAATAGACATTGAAAACAGATTGCATAAATGCTTGAACCATGAGCTGCACAATGCAAGCACTTTGCCTCATGAACTATTTATGAGCCGCACATAAACATTTATAGCTGGTGCAGATTTTGTGTCAATACATTCATTGCGTTGATTGTACATTGTACAATACTCCTTCACCGAATATATGACCTCCCTTCGGGGTGTGACATCATGAGTAGACTTGCACAAAAGGGATCCATGAGAAGAGCTCCATGTCAGAGTTATTGAGTACCCGATGCGGTAGCTGGTTTGCTCGAGTTCAGGGAAGGGCAACTGCTGGTCCACACCCACACTCTGAGTCACCAATTTGCTGATTTTTTTCAATACATTTTTAGTTTGGGGATGTTATTTTATTTTATTTTTTTGCTTGTTTGTTTTTAATGTTTGATTTTTTTTCCCCGCCATTGCATTTCAATGAACATCAATGACGTGGATTTTCACTCTTCAGGTGCCATCCCTGTCCATATCCCACTGTATAGTTTTAAGTTGTAATATCACCATTCACCATTAGATGTCAGACATTGTTTAATTGCATTTATACTGCCTTAAACAACAACATGAGCAGGCCTAATCATTTTATTTCATGTCGCTGCTGTTCAGCCGTTTTGTGCCATCCTTGAATGGTTTTTTTTTGGGGGGGGGGGTTATGCACGAGACCTTTTTGTACCGGAAAAAAAAGATCTCCCTATGTTTTTTTTTTTGATCATTCAAACCCTTTGTTGTTGAAAGCTGAATCTTTAACACATCCGCTGAAAAATGAAATCTATTAAAATTGTGATGTGCACTGGTTAAATAAAAACAGCCATATGCTCATATTTTAAAATGTTTTTGTCATGCATCTAGTTCAGAGGTTTGTGGTCCTATGTTTATCCCCTCCAGTAGCGCCGTTGAAAATTTTTGAACTCCATCATTTAAGATGCCCATCCCCGGTCTAGTTTGACTCCATGCATAAGCCACTTCTGTAAACATTAAAAGTCGTGAAAATAATAAAAAGGTTCTCTTTTCTCAGATTCTTATGAGGTTCTGATCAAAATGAACACAAAGTCACTGTATAATTAATTTGGCTGCATTTGTGTTTCTTTTTCAGGTATTCATTTGACACACAATAAAAGGCATTCATTCACCCTGCTCACCTTAACATAAGAGCTGTTGAACAAACTGTTGTTTGTATGCGGCTGACCTGACGTTTCTGCATTCCTACCCTTCATTAAACCTTTATAAAAACATTTTTTTAAAGTTAAAAATCGTAAAAAGCAAATGCCCAGATAGAATTGATTCACAACCCCTAAATTCTTGTACCTGGTGTTATAAAACATTCTAACACACACATACACGTTGAAAGATGCCGATATTACCAACTCATGATCGAATGAGACCTAATACAATGGCTGTTTAAATGAGTTTGCCTTTACAATGAAAATAACAAACGTGAGAGGATTTCATTCCACACTATGGTTGTTGTTGTGATGGTTGCAGAAGTGCACTGAGCTGTTTGGAAACATTTTACTGCCCTTGCGTCAGAATGATGCGGCGTCAACGTTTTGCTGAGTTATTACCACATCAAAACTATCCTTGTATACGACACAGCACCTGGATCAGATCTCAATGCGTCGAGCAGATGCACCTAATGAAGAGTCCCGAGTGCGTGCCTGAATTTATCCCACATGAACTAGCAATTATCGAAGACTTACTGTACATACAGTCTCAAAAAAACCATCCACGTCCGCACCCCCGACGACACAAAGGTGCAAGGAGTTCACAGGCAAACGACCAAAATGTAAACCTTTGCCCACCTTCAGGTCGCCCACGCCATCGAAGATGCGTTCGCCGTCCTTGTCCGTTACCTTGGCCAGGGTGAGATGGTAGCGCGGGTTGTAGGAGTCCCTGTGGAGCAGGCCCTCGCTCCTGTAGGCTTCCTGCAGGCCGCCATTGAGCTGCTGGAGCTGAAGCTGAGGCTGGGGGCTCAGGTACAGCACCCTGCCGTTGAAATGCTTCAGCTTGACGGGAAAGCTGACGGCCACCGGGGGGTTGCGGTCCAAGTGGGCAAAGCGTCGAAGGATCTCCACAGCGGCCTCCACTTCCGCGGGGCCCCGCAGCACCAGGAGGCACAGGGTGACGTGCAGGCTGGCCGAGGCCTGCCAGTGAGGGGCGGACGACGGGAGAAGGGCGCTGACCTCTTCCTGGAGTTGCTGGAAAGAGGCCAGGATGGCGGGAGTGTTGGCCCGGAACGTGATGAAGTGGGTGGGTTTCTTTTTAGGGGGACGACGACCGCGGTTCTCTTCACTCTGCTTGAGAGATTCGGGGGCATGAAAATGGGAAACAATGCCATGACAGCTGGAATGACTCGCTACACAAGTCACATAAAGCTGTATCTCTCAAAGAGTACAAAGAGCAAACAAAATTGGGGCTTTTCATGTTTCATGAAACAACGAGATGGAAAGTACTGAACTTATCAAGACGCTACCTGTTGACGTAAATATATAGAATATACATATGCAGCACATAAAAAAAAAAAAAAAAAGCCGAATGACCAACCGAAACGAAGCATTTTTCCCCCCCAAATTGCAATTGAGTGTGACAATTTAGGGTGTTGAATGAAACTCAAATGCATGTTTTGTGGGAGAAAACTAAGAAAACCCACCTGAGAAAATCCAGAGGTCGCAATCGAACCCAGAACCTCTCGAAAGTGGCCAATAGGCCATCGTGCTGCCACTCCAGGAATATCGCATCAAAGTAATAAACACGTACACCATCTGAGCGGCGTTTTAGCTGAAGCGCAAGTGGCGATGGCACCCGTGTGTTCAAGTGGACAACACGCCCAGCGATTAATGGGGGGGGGGCATCTTTTAAACTGAGCAAAGCCCACTACGAGATACAAGGAGGTCAACGGTATTACCTACCACATTATTCTGGCCTTCAAAACTTTCTTCCCATTCGTTTGTGTCTCCATCTATCAAACACTGTCCTCCTTTATCTGCCGAGGCCTTCGCACTAAAAAGAAGAACAAAACATCAGATAAGTCAAGAGAGCCTCTCAGGGTGTGCAACCCTTCACAATTCGGAGCAGAGCGAGGCGAGGCGCTCATTACATAACAAGAGCTTGACCTCTTGCCTGTTACTGCACTTCCTGCTGGTGGAGGATTTCTGAATGCAGTTCGTGGTCCAAGTAAAATAGGAGCGACAATCTTTTTTCCTACCTTCAACATTCTGGTGGTTTTGCAAATTGCATAACATCCCCAATCAAATGAGAAACTGTCTCTGTGTGTGTGTGTGTGTGTGTGTGTGTGTGTGTGTGTGTGTGTGTGTGGGTGG